TTCGAGCTCATTTTTCTGTACGTTTCAAATCAATATGTAGAATGTTGTCACTTATGTAATCAAAATCTCAAGTGATTCATACAATGAATTACTTTTAGGAGTGTAGTGGCTATGGAGGGGATTAATCTACTCTCTTTCTTTGAATTGGAAGTGTAAGGAAGTTCTTCGAATTGCATGTGTAAGAGGGTTGACAATTCTGCAAACAGTGGCTAACAGGAGGAATTTATTGGGCATACTAGTTGGAGTTAGACAATGGGTCTGTGTTGGCTCCAGTAGTATTCATTACATTTACTACCCGTGAGTCTACAACCTTGAAATATGTTGATAATGCCAAAATTGACTAATAGCAAGGAGGGCCATCAATGACTCAAAGACATAAGCTAGCTAATAGAATATGTGGACAAGTGGTGGAAGTATTTCTAAAGTGGGATGGTGTGAATTGTGACGAGTGCATACTTAATGCAAAGACACCAAAGGAGCATAAGAACGAGAAGCTCTAAATTCTGGAGAGTAGAGTATGAATACACAGTGACCTTAGGATTCAAGCCAATGATTCCCTGAAAGAGCATGTGGGTGATGGAAGTCAGTGCCATTCTGGATTTTAAAAATACGGACCTAAGATTAAAGAGTTAATCATTTGTAGAAATCATTAAAAGGGGTTATTTTAGAGTTCTGTGTGCAGATACCCAATTCCAGAAAGGACAGTAAACCATTGTGTGTATAGTGTAGATATGCCAGGATGATGCTGTTCATGGATAACTATAGTAATGTAGTGACACTTGAGACAATGGGACTATTTCCACTTGAACAGAGAAGGCTGGGAGAAAGTTAATATTTTTTAAATAGTCATTTGGTGGTACAGATTTAGAATATTCTGAAATAAGACCCATATTGTCAAAGCTTTTTACCTTGTATTCATCAGGTCATGGCTAGCTGTTTTATGCTGTTAATATCAAAGCGATCCTGTGGGATAATGGCTACCTGAATGGGATTATTTCTTTCTATACATCTCTCACACTCATGAACAGTCCTAAGGCTGGTTATGAAAAGTACCCAATCTATTTCAGATTAGGGTAAAGTATCTCAAAGTGTGAGCAATGGGTAAAGTTATATGTTTCGCATTCCTGCAGTAACAAGATGTTGCTGTCAAAATACTATTCTGCCTTGTCGCATAAATGAGAAACGTGATATATAGATATTAGTGCCAGTGTGATGCTAGATATGTAGACCGTAAATCCCAAAGACTGATGGACCATATCAAATAGCATATTCCGTTTTCTGTTCAAAACAAGCAAGGGACTGACCATGCCCAACCAGCCTACGCTTGCAAATCCCACAACACAGTGTCCAACATTAGGTATGATTCTACAACTGGACAATCCTGATGATTCTGAATGTGTGAGTAATTATGCTGACAACCAGTTAAGATTGTCGGGCTTTCAGTGTGACATACTTGCATGTACTGAAAGATACATATATTAAAAAAAGTGTTTTGAATTGGGGAAGGTAGAATTTATTAAATTAACGCAGAATCTGACCAAAGGCAATTCGGAACAGTTACTTTTGGGTAAATCTACAGCAAAGCAGTGAGAGTCATTCAAAATAGAATTACCCAACACATTTCCTTTAAGGTGAAATGTAAAAGTAGCAAGCTGAGAACCCGGAATACCTAGGATTTTTAGGGCTGGATAAAAAGGAAAAGAGAGGCTTTTAACTGGTACAAACAGAGTGAATTAACAGAGGTCCTAGTGGAGTATAGAAAGTGCTGGGGGGAGTTTAAAACAATTAGGACAGCGAAGAGGGGAGATGAGAAAAACCACTGGTGAGTAAGACTAGGGAGAATCCCAAGATATTCTATAAATATATTGAGGGGAAAAGGATAACCAGTGAAAGAGTCAGGCCCATTGGGGACCGAGGGTTAATCAGAGTACTTAAGTGGCCCAGAGTACTTAAGGAAATGGCCCTAGAAATGGTGGATGCAACAGTGCTCATCTTTCAAAATTTTTAGACTCTGGAACATTAGCTACGTTCCAATCTGTAGGAAATGTAACCCCTGTATTCAAAAAGAGGTAGAGAGAAATCAGGGAATTAGGAATGAGTCTGACATTGGTAGTGAGGAAGGTGCTACAGTCCATTATAAAGGATTTTATGGCAGAGACTTGGGTGGTAGGGTCAGACACAGTCGGCGTGGATTTATAAAAGGGAAATCATGTTTGTCAAATCGAAAGGAATTCTTCGAGGATGTGATTGGTAGTGTTGATCAAGGGAGTCAGTGAATGTAGTTTATATAGACTTGCAGAAAGCTTTCAACAAAGCCCCACATAAGAGACTAATGTGTAAAATTAAAGTGAATGGGATTGGAAGTAGTGTATTGAGATGGATTAAAATAATAGCAGATAGGAAACAAAAAGTAGGAATAAATGGGATTTTTTTCTGAATGGCAGGTGGTGACTAGTGGGGTACCACAGGGTTTGGTACTAGAACTCCAGCTATTCATAATATTTTATTGATTTAGATGAGGGAACTAAATGTAATATTTAAAATTTGCATATGGCACAAAGCTTTGTGGATGGGTGGGCTGTGAGGAGGATGCAAATTGAGAGAGGGGTAAGTTTGAGACCTCGTTATCCTCAAGCACTAGTCACAAAGTAAGCATGCAAGTACAACAGGCAATACAGAAGGCAAACTGTATGTTGGCCTTCATAGCCAGAGGATTTGAATATAGGAACAAGAATTTTCTACTGCAATTATACAGTGTATTGCTGAGGCCAAGCCTGGAATATTGTGTGCAGTTTGGGTCTCCTTATGTGAGGAAGGGTGTTCTTGCTATGGAGGGAGTGCAACAAAGGTTTACCTAGTTGATTTCTCACATGACTGATGTATGAGGAGAGATCGATTTGGCTAGAGATAACGCCGTGTGGACCTGGAGGAACACAGCAGGCCAGGCAGCATCAGAGGAGCAGGAAAGTTGACGTTTCAGGTTGGGAGCCTTTTTCTGTGTTCCTCCAACTCCACACTGTGCTATCTCTGACTGCAGCATCTGCAGTTCTTACTATCTCTGATCGATTTGGCTAGGATTGTTTTCACTGAAACTTAAAAGAATGAGTGGGAAGATCTCATAGAAATCTATAAAGTTCTAACAGGACAAGACAGGTTAGATGCAGGAAGAATGTTCCCAATGATGGGAAGTCCTAGTTTAAGGATAAAGGGTAAACCTTTTAGGACTACAATGAGGTGAAATTTGTTCACCCAAAAAGTAGTGAATCTGTGATATTCACTACCACACAGTAGTTGAGGTCAAGTCGTTGCATTTTCAAGAAGGAGATAAATATTGCTCTTGTGGCTAAAGGGATCAAGGGATATGGGGGGAACGGTGGGATTAGGGTGTTGAGTTTGATCATAATGAATGACGGAACAGGCTTTAGGGGTCAAGTGGCCTAATCTTGCTTCTATCTTCTGTCTTCTGTATGTAGAGCCATAGGACGTTAGTAGGGTGATAAACGAATACTTCGCATCAGGCTTTGCATAGCACTTCACGTTGGAGAAGGAGGATGTAGGCACAGAATTCAGGAAATTGTACCATGAGGTTCTTAAGCAGTTTGACCTAAGGAGTGAGGAAGTTTTGGCAGGCATAAAACGGGCACATCCCCAGGTCTGGATCTGTTGTATCCCAGGCTGCTGTGAGAGTCGAGGCAAATTTACAGGAGCTGTGACCCAGCTCTATAAATTCCTGTCTGGCCAGAGTGGAAGTGTCAGAAGACTAGAGGGCCGCTAATGTGGTTCCACTTTTCAAGAAGGATGGCAAAGATAAAATAGAGAATTATAAACTATTATCTAGGTCTCTGGATTAACAATCCAGCGATAATACCACTAGGCCATTGCCTCCCCTAAGGTATGACATGAGATTCATAAAATAGATGAAAGCACATGGGATCCAGGTAGCTTGGCAAGTTGGATCCAAAATTAGTGTAGTGGTAGGAGACATAGGGCGGTAGTAGAAAGTTGTTTATGTGACTGGAGGCCATCCAGAGGGATCAGTGCTGGGTTCCTTATTGTTTGTGATATCTATACACAATGTAGAAGAAAATTTTGAGGGGAATGATAAATAAGTTGGCGATGACTCAAAGATTGTTCAGGTGGTTAACAGTGAAGGAGGAGGTCTTAGATTTCAGGAGGAAATAGACAAATTGGTCAGATGGGCAGATCAGTAACACATGGAATTTAACTCTTGACAAGCGTGAAGTGCTGTACTTAAGAAGTAACAAGACACGCATACCCTACGTTGTAGAAGCAGGCCATTTAGCCCACCAACCCTTCAGAGAACATCCGACCCAGACCCTTCCCCCTACCCCTGTAATGCTGCATTTCACATAGCTAACCCACCCATCCCTGGACCCTATTGGCAAGTTAGCATGCCCCATCCAGCTAACCTACACGTCTTTGGACTGTGCGAGGAAACCCATGCAGACACTGGGAGAACGTGCAAATTCCACTCAGACAGTTGCCCGAGGCTAGAATCGAACCTGGGTCTCTGGCATTGTGAGGCAGCAGTGCTAACCACTGAGCCATCATGCCATCCAAAGGAGCCAAAGACAAAGGAGTTTTAAATGAATGGCAGGACATGGGAAACTCGGAGGAACAGCGGGATCTTGGCGTACTTGTCCACAACTATGAAGAAAAGCTACATAGGCCTGAGTTGTTTTCTTTTGAGCAAAGCAAGCTGATGGGGGACCTGATTGAAGTTTGAGATTCTGAGGGGCATAGACAGGGTGGATAGGAAAATTAGACAAGTGTAGATTTAGAGTAGTTTTTGTTGGTGCAAATTCAATGGGCTGAAGGGCTGCACTGTATGATTCTATGACATGGCCCTGTTCTTTACAGACAGAACATGCACTGCACAAGTTACAATTCAACAAAACAGCCAGCTATTCACCAGTTTATTTCTCACGGCAATGCCTGACCAATCAGAGTTAACCTGCCTTGTTTAAAATGTAAATACAGCCTGCCAGTTAATTGTCAATCAGCATTAATGGGTGAATTCTCCATGGCAACACCTACCAATCAGTCCACTTGCCAATCAGTCATCACTGTTCTCTCATGCAGTATAATGGTGGTTTCATTCTTAAAATGGCAAATTGTCTCAAGTATGAGACAAAAAGCTTTGACAAAATTATCTTTTTTCAGCAATACTTGATTATATTTTCATAGCATGAAGGATTTGATAGAAAGATTATGGCTATCACCTGTCTGCTGTGCAACAAGGGTCATTTTATTACTATCGCAAAGAGACTAAGAAAAGATTTTATTTCAATTCATTGATAAATGTGGGTACTGCTTGCGATGCCTGCATTTTTACACTTTGCCCATTTTATTACCCGTACCTAATTGTCTTTTGAGAACGTCTTGTTGAGCCATATCCTTGAGCTAGTCTGTGTGATTAGGGAAGGAGATTCAGGATTTTGACCCAAACAATGGTGAAAGAACTGTTGTTATTCCAATTCAGAATGATGGGAAGCTTAAAACCCCACTTCATGGTGGCATTCCAATTCATTTGCTTTCCATTTTCTTGGTGGTATAGGTCATAGGTGTAGGTGATGCTATTTGAAGTGCCTTGGTGAATTGCTGTGCTGCAGTCTGCAGGTGGTACTGTCCTACTGTATGTTATTTGTGGTGAGAGTGAGTATTTAAGCTGGTTGATGGGGTGCCAGTCTGGCTGACTGTTTTGACCAGGATGGTGTGTTATTGGCATTGCACTCTTCTAGGCAAGAGACCAGTATTGCTGACTTGTATGTTGTCGATGGATTGGATTTGGAAGGTGGGGATTGCATTACTCACTGCAGAATCAGAGGAGCTTGGTGGAATCTCTAAGAAAGGTCCATTCCCTTGTCCCGTTATGCTGCCCCTTAATGATACTATCGAGAAACACATGTAGATTTCACATGTATGTTGATGGCATCCAGATCTCCCCCACTACTATCTCTCTATGAACTATATATGTTCTGTTTCTGTTGGCAGAAACTATTTGGTTTCCTCTGGGAATATATTGGGGAACTGGCAACCAGGCAGCCAGCAGAACTGAAGACAATTGACAAGATGGTGCTGTAAGTTTGAAACAGTCTTAAGAGCATTTTTATTTTTGAGATTTTAGATGCATGTTTATAGCATTAGGCATCAACGCTATGTTAGAACTCTTCAAATTTCTGGAGACTTTAGTGTTTTAACATGATTGGGTTTGATTTAAAATGTTAAACATTTTGAATTGATGTGGACCTGGGGGTTAGATAGCCAAATTACAGCAGTAATATTACTGTGGGAGTTCTGCACAATCATTGGTACAGTCCATTCAGCTGAGATGTTAAACTCTTCTGCCCTCTCAGGTGGATTTAAAAGAGACCAAAGAGTTATCTCCAATGACCCGACCAATATTTATCCCTTAATCAGCGTCCCACAAACAGATTATCCAGTCTTTATCACATTGCTGCTTGTGGAATGGTGCTTTACACAAATTGGCTTTGTTCTATTCTTTTGTAGGACATCGCATTGCTGGCTAGGGCAATATTTATTGCCCATCACCAATTGCTGTTGGGGCAGTGATAAGCTGTTGTCTTGAATGGCTGCACGTAGATATGCCCATATGCTGTAAAGATTTCAACCCAGCAACAGGACAATCCCTTGCACAAAGAAAGATGGTTATGTTTTTTTGCTCAGTCATCTAAACTCTAGCTCATCTCTTCAGCCGTTCCCCAGGGTAGTGTCCTAGGCCCAACCATCTTCAGCTGCTTCATAATTGGCCTTCCCTTCTACATGATGTCAGAGGATGTTCACTTCCTTCTTCATAATGTCAGAGGTGAGGATGTACACTGATGATTGCATGAGGTTCAGCATCATTTGGGAGCTCCTCAAAGAGTGAAACAGTCTGTATCCAAATGCAACAAGACCTGAGCAATATCCAGGTTTGGGCTGACAAGTAGCAAGTAAAATTCATTTCATACAAGTGCCAGGTAATGAGCATCTGCAAGAAAAGAGAATCTAACCATAACCATTGATATTCAGCTATGTTACCATCATTGATTCCCTCCACTATCAATTTCCTGGGGATTACTATTGATCACAATGGCCATAAAGAACACATCAAAATCCAGGAATCCTGCCGTGAGTCGCTCACTTTGAGTCCCCAAAGCCTGTCCACCATCTACAAGGCACAAGTCAGGGGTGTGATGAAGTACTCCGCACTAGCCTGGATGACTGCAGCTCCAACAACACTGAAGAAGCTTGACACCATCCAGGAAAAAGCAGCTCACTTGATTGACATCCCATCTACAAACACTCAGTCACTTCCAGTGAGGCTCAGTAGCAGCAGTGTGTACCATCTCTAAGTACCACTGTAGAAATTCACCGAGGCTCCTGAGACAACATCTTCCAAACCCACAATTTTACCAGTGGACGAGGCACATACATGGGAACGCACCACTTGCAAGTTCCCCTCCAAACCACTTATCATCATTGGAAGTAAATCACTGTTCTTCAAATGTCAATTGGTCAAAATATTAGAACTCCCTCTCCAACTGCTCTAACTGTGCAAAATGAGTGCGAAGACAGCACAACTCCCCACAGGGCAACGCTGATGGGTACTGAATGCCAGCCAGCAACATCTACATCCAAAGGATATTTATGCATGGAAGCATCCCACAGGAACAGATAATCTTTTCATAAGATAGGTTCAATACACTGGGGATAACCCATCTGCTCTTCAAAGTAGGGCCGTATGATCTTTTAGTACCCACCTGAGAGGGTGGATGGGTTTAATGTCTCATCTAAAAGACAGCACCTTTGCCAATGCAGTGCACCCTCAATACTGCACCAGCCCAGGTTTATGTGCTGAAGCCTCTGGAATAGGCCTTGAACCCATGACCTTCTGACTGAAGTAAGAGTACGACCAACTGAACAACTGCTGACACAAATCGGGTGAGCCATACTTGGGCCCCAAAATTACATTTAACTGGATGCTAAGAAGCAGTTGAAATGAGTATGGAAATCTAGTGAGGATAGCTAAATAGGAAAACAGTTATTGAGGAATGTTAATATTACACCCCTCAAGGCTCTAATCATGTCAGTTTTTTTCTTTTCCTTTTGCAGCCAGTTGTACGAACTATCGCAATTATTCCCTGAAGCTGCTTGCAGCTGTGTTCAATCAACCCTTAGACAAAGTGTGCAGGAACTAGAGAACCAGCTGCAAGTCAAAGGTCGGGCTTCATTTCCTGGATTAGATAAGGTATGCAAATCTGAATGAAAGCGCACTCAATATATTATAGTTAGGTTCCTTAATTACCATGGTATGTACTGATAAAAGAGTACTGACCTATCTAACTAATCCTTCCATTAAAATTATCATCCATCCTTCACACCATCTAACAGTCTCTTGAATGACTTCAAATTGTTTTGCCTCCACAACCCAGAATCCAATTCTGTGTATTGATCACACTGTCAAGAAGTGGGTCCTGACATCGCTTTTTTCTAGTTTATATCTGTAGCAAAAAAAAACCAAAGGATCGTGGATGCTAGAAATCAGACACAAAAGCAGAAATTGCTGGAAAAACCCCAGAATGGTTCTGAAGCAGAATCATTGAACCTGACATGTTAACTCTGCTTTCTGTCCACAGATGCTGCCAGACCTGCTGGGTTTTTTCAACAATTTCTGTCTTTATATCCGTATCACATTACTGCAAACAATGTTTAGCTTGAGTTATTGCTCAGCAGTTTCTATTTCACATAGCCTGTAATGTCTTCCCTGTAAGATCTCTGGAGATTCCTCCTCAAAGTTAAAGCTAGGTGAATTTTTTCGGACTTGTTTAAATCCTTATGAGTTCAGACTCTTCAATAGATTGCGAGCTTCCACTGAAGTCTGTGGAGGTACAGTGATCTTTTAAGAAAACACTTTGTAAGTTGATTCTCCAGTAGCTTCCCACAGACTCTCCTCCTCTCCAAGCCCATTTGCAAAGCAACAAATCAAGTTGAAGTACTAATTAGCTACTCTTTAGAGTGAGAACAAAATGGCAATGAAAAGAATGAGCATAAATCCTTATCCTGCAGTAACTCGGCACTCAGAGTCCCAGGCTAATGCTGGGTACATGATTCAAATCCCACCATGATACCTGGTGGAATATAAGTTTAAATAATAAAAATCTCAAATAGAGGGCTTTGTGCCAGTAATAATGTTGCGAAACTAGCATGAATTGTTATAAAAACCCATATAGTTCATCATTATCCTTCAGAGAAGGAAATCTGCCATCCTTATCTGGTCTGACTTACATATGACTCCACACTCACAATGATGAGGTTGACTCTTAACTACCCTCTAAAATGGCTGAGCAAGCTACTCAGCTCAAGAGCAGTTAGGGATAGGGAACAAATGCCTCATTTGCCAGTAACACCCACATCCGTTAAAGGAAAAAAGGCTGCTCATGCTGCTGCACAAACATCTGGATGAATACATCAATGGAGATTGGATACCATCATGAGTTTCTATCATTGATGCAATATTTTCGCTTCCTTACAGCTGCTTTACATAAAGATTGTAGGAGCTCTGTTCCCCACCTCTGATTTCCGACACGCAGTGGTGACCCCTGCACTAGTGTACATGAGTCAGATAGTCACCAAGGTAGGTACAAGGATTTGCATTCATTCTGGACTCTATTCATAAAGTTTACAACATAAAAATAGGTTGTCGGCTTCATTATGCCAGTATCTATGCTCCATCAAAGCCTCCTGCCATCTCTTTTTACCTAAATCTATCAACACATCCTTCTAATTTCTCCCTCAGGTATTGGTCTAGCTTCCTCTTAAAAACATTTAGGCTGTTTGCCTTAACTGATACTTCTGCTCTCTGGCAAATAAGTTTCTCTTAAACTTCTTATTGGATTTATTCATGCCTACCTCATTTATAGCCCCTAGTTTTGGACTGCACAGCTTAGATCGAGTCTGTTGTTTGTGGGATTATTCAGTCCTGTATATCACTTGTACCGTATGCTGTTTGCATGCAAGTAGTTCTGTGCTGTAGCCTCACTGGATTACCTCATTTTTATGTCTGCTTGGCACTGCTCCGAGCGTGCCCTCCTGCACTGTTCTTGGAACCAGGTTTGATGCCATGGTTTAATGGTAATGACAGAGGGGGGAATATACTGTGCCATTAGGTTCTAGATTATGTTAGAATACAATGCTGCTGCTGATGGTCAACAACACCTCATAGATACCCATTCTTAAATGCTAGATCTGTTCAAAATCTATCCCATTTAGCATGGCACATAACACAATGTAAGGTTGTGAGAGAACTAACCACCATGACATTTGTTGGCATTTACATCACTGAATCCTTCACTATCAATTTCCTGGGTTTACATTGATCAGAAACTGAATTGGGCAAGTCATGTAAATACCATGGCTACAAGAACAGGCCAAGTGCTAGGAATCCTGCTATAAGTAATTCACCTGATTCATCATAGCCTGCCTACCATCTACAGGGCACAAGAGTCAGGGGTGTGATGAAATACTCCCCATCTGCCTGCTTGAGTGCAACTCCAACAACACTCAAGAAACTTAACATAATCCAATTCAAAACAACCCACTTGATTGGCACCACAAGCATATTCATGCCCTCCACCACAGATGCAAGGTGGTAGCAGTGTATGCCATCGACAAGATACATTGTAGCAATTGACTCCTTAGACAGCACCTTCCAAAACCACAACCTCTAGTATCCAAAAGGACAAGGGCAACAGATGCATTGGAGCGCCCCCACCACCTTAAGGTCAATCCAAGCCAGTTACTACCTTGTCTTGAAAATATATTGCTATTCCTTTACTGTGGCTGCATCAGTGTCTTGAAATCCCTTCCTGTCAACACTGGATGTTCCCACACCAAATGGACTGCAGCCCACCACCACCTTCTCAAGGGCAATTAAGAGGTGAGCAGTAAAGGCTTGCCTGGTCAGCAAAGCTCGCATCCCCTTAATCAATAAAGAATAGCTGAAATAAAAACACAAATTTCTGGAAAATCTCATCAGGTCTGACAGGTCTGAAGAAGAGTCACTGGACCCAAAACATTAACTCTGATTTCATTCCACACATGCTGCCAGATCTGCTGAGACTTTCCAGCAATTCCTGTTTTTGTTTCAGATTCCAGGTGCAAATTGTCCTGCCTCCTAAACACATGGCCTGAACACAAGATTTTGCCTATCATCTGTGTACCCTATCAAACCCTTTAATGATTATTTAGTCTTTAAGTATCATGCATTGGTATCCTTTTTGTACCTTCTCCTTGCTTCTGAATCCTTTTGTGTAATACACAGAATCAAGTATGTACAGATCACTTAGCTACTGTGGTGGTCCAATCATGATTACATGTAGGTTTAAACACAGCTCAGGAGCAGCACTTCATTGATAGTGGCAAAAGAGCTTACCAGTCTAATTCCATGTTCCAGGTTATGACCAATAAACATATTGGTTAGAGCATTTCAAGTTCTGACCAAATGAATTTTCCTAAATGCAATAATGATCTCTGCCTCTGCCATCCTCTCAGGCAGTGAACGCCTGACCTCTAATTTCTGGCTGAAAAGTTACTCAACTCCTCTTTGTCCTTTCACCAATTACTCTGTGGCCCCTGATTTTGATGTCTCTGTTTATGAAGGTAGCTAGTTTCCCTCCTTTTGGATTCTAGACCTCTACAATTAACTCCCAGTGCTTTGTTTGCACCATTTATAATTTTGGTAACCTGTTTTTTTTTTCAAATCTCCAACTGGTCTTGCATGTTTCAGTTCATTCCCCTAATGACTAGCTGACTGAAAAACAAAATTTCTTGTGTTTGCTCCAAACTAAAGGGGATAGTAAACGGGTAAGAACGTATTGGTGAAAGATAAAGAAAGTTAACTTGGCCCAGCAAAGGCCGCAGATTTAAGATAATTGTTTCAAGAACCAGAGAATAAATCAGCAGAGTTGTTTTTAACACAGCCAATTGTGATGAGCTGGAATCTGTTGTCTGAAAGGATGTTAGAAGCCGATTCAGTTGTAACTTTCAGAAGGAAATAGGATAAATCTTTGAAGGTCAAAAACCATGAAATAGGACTGATTTAATTATTCTCCAAAAATATGCTTGTCTCTTAAGAATGTGAACAGAAACCTCCTATCTTTCTTTACCTTTTCTCTGTCCACTTTTCTCTCCTCGCTGAAACTTCTATTGCCCTTGCAATATTATGTAAATAGTGTTGCCTACTTATAATTTTAAACTTACTATCCTGTATTTGTTGATATTTTACGTAAACAGTGTTCTGTCACCGTACTGCGGGATGTTGCTGCTGGACTGTTTGTGTGCTGCCTCTTCCTGGACTATGTTTCACTTTCAAAGAGGCTGGTTCCTGAGGTTATCAACTTCCTTGTGGGAATTCTTCACATGGCAGTACCTAGGAAAAGCACTTTAGGTATGTTTGTCTGTGTAAGAGCCAGTGACCTGGAGTTTTGCTAGCTTCATTTAAAACCAGCCAAAACAGCGCAAAAGATCAAGCACAAATTACATTTAGTACAGATTACATTTATTCAATCTTTTGCATTATTTAAAAAAAAGTGGAAGCTTACCCTAACTGGTCATGCCAAGAAATCAATTAAACACCACTACGACCTTTTACTAATTACATTCATTTCCTGACTTTTCAGTTGAACAGCACATAAATATCAAAAAGTACCTCAATCTTTTATATTTCCTAAAATATATTAAAAAATTGACTATATGGTACATCAATATAGCTAGTATAATAAAACAAAGAACTACAGATGCTGGAAATCTGAAACAAAAACAGAAATTGTTGGCGAAACTCAGCAGGTTTGGCAGCATCTGTAGAGGGAGAAAAAACAGTTAGCGCTATAGGTCCAGTGACGCTTGCTCAGAAAAGGCTTCAGTTATAGCTAGTAAGTGGTTCTGCCAAGTTATTTTGTGATATAAGTTATTTTAGTCTATTTCAGTTATTTAAAATCAGTTTACTCATAGGTGGTAGACTAGATTAAATAAGGTGCTTATATTTAAAAAAAAAACAGAAATTGCTGGAAAAACACAGCAGGTCTGACAGCATCTGTGGGGACAAAGCAGAGTTAATGTTTTGGTCCCATGACCCTTCTTCAGAACTTAAATATGAGTTTGATCAATTGAACCAAACCAGGTTTCCAGGAATATCTTTATTGCAGTTGTTTTTATTAAAATTATGTTCTAAAATGTTGATTAATTGCACTGGTTCATGGAAGATTTTGCAATGGGCAGCATGTTAATCATTTTCAGCAGAAACGAGCAAACATTCACTTTGCAGGATGTGTGCAGTTTGCCTCTTGATGATTCATTGCACTTCAGGCAGAGATTTTTGACCCCTGTGCGTGTGTGTGTGCGCGTGCGCGTGTGTGTGTACATATGGTTAACATTTGCTTTAATCTTCTACAATAAAGATTTTGCTTTCTTTTCACCTATAAATACCTCGTAGACTTGTGCCATAACTAGGAATAATAAAACGGTCAATTTGCTCATTCCCAATAAAAATTAGGTTATGGATGATTTTTAGTAAAATGAAGCTTTTGTTAACAGGGAGTAATGAATAAGGGATTTCTCAGCTAAAAGGGCAAAATAACAAACAATAGATCTCTTGGAATAGAGAGAAATAACATTTCACCTGAACAGGGATGAATATGCTTGATTGGTTCTCTGCAATTACCATTCAGCATTCATTTACAATTCATAGAGATGAAAAAAAATCAGTTTATTTTTCTGTAAGACATTGACCGAGTCTTGACACACTCAATCTCTTTGTTTTGGAAACATGTTGGTGTCAAATCCAAGAAATTTACAAATGTTTCAGTCTTACTTTTCACATTTGTATCTGTTTTGAAGAAGTACCAAACGTAAGCCTCTGTCTGCAGGCAGGGAGAGAAGGGTAGGAAACCACAACTGCTGCATCCCTCAATTCCTGTCTATCTTGGTTGCTCACTCCAGGGTACACTCTGGTGCCACCTTTTAAATCATCTGCGAAATCCTCTGACCTGATGGTGGTGAAAGATAAAATGGCTGCCGAATCATGGGAAATGAAGCCCTTGCCAATTAGCCAGATACAAAGGGTGGAACAACAAGACGAAACGCAAACAGCAAACTTCAAGTGAGTGGTAGCCTTCACTTCATTGCTCAAACAATTATTGTATGACTAGCTGATGGTGGGGAGGTGGTGGAAATTGGTAACCAGAGAACACAGATTTAAAATAATTCACACAAGAATGAGAGAATTCTTTTAACCAGTTGTTAAGATTTGAAATGTACTGCCTTAAGAGTGATGGAAGTAGATTCAAGAATAATTTTGAAAATCATATTAGATGAGTACTTAGAAATGCTAAGATTTGGAGCTATGGAGGAAGTTCCATTCATCTGCTCAAATTAACTAGCTGACTCAAATGGCTCAAGAATGACGGTCTGAATAGCCAACTCCTGTTCTGTAAAATTCAATGGTTGACTGTCTTCTCTTTCTTTCACATTTTTACACCTGCCACTGAAGGTATGGAGGTTCTGTTTCACAGGTAATAGTCACTCAAAAGTTCCCCTCCCAAATGAACATCATTTATGTGCGAACTTTGACCGTGTGCAGAGTGTCGATCTGAACAGTACAATAAATCCTCTGTGCCTTCCCTATCCTTTTGGAACCAAATAATCATTTACCCCCAGGGAAGATAAGAGGGAATATCAGTGAGAAACTGAAAGATAAAGTGCAGGAACGCTACTGTAATCCACTAGGATTAAAAAGACTTGTGACTTGAATAGTATGTTAGATTTATTGGATTTTCTTTAACTTCTGCTATAGGTTGTCCTGCATAGCTTTGTGTTTTAACCTATGCAAGCGATGTGCCTCCTTGTATAGATCACTGCCTTCCTTTCGGGAAATAGTTAATCCACTGGAAATTCTTCTGACCTCACACCTACCCGTGAGTGATTATCCAGCTCAGCTCCAGGTAGGAACTTGGTTCTATCTCTGTCCAGACATTTTTGTGTGGTCCCCTGGTAATCTGTTGGACAGCATTGCCTTATACAGAATTCACATCAAAACAGACCATTTGGCATAATTCTTTTTCTTGTGTTAACTGGCCTATGTCAGTGTTTGTGCCTCACACCAAACTCCCTAAACCCTACCCGCCCACTTTATCTGGCTCCATCCATAATCCTTCTATTCATTTCTCCCTTGTGCTTATCTACCTTCTGCTTGAACAATGTATCTGTGCTATGTGTCTCAACCACTGTTAGCAAATTCCACACTCTCATCGCACTCTGGTTAAAGAGATTCTATATAAAGTACCTGAATTAGATTTACTAATGAACCATAGTATTGGCCTCCCACACATGAGGAAATCTTTAGGTCTACGCTAGCAATGACTGTGTCCAATAAGAGAGAGTCAAACCACTTCGCACTGATGCAATTACTGAATCCCCACTGTCATATCCTGGAGCTTACCCAGCCAAATAGATACTGTAGCTTCAAGAGCAGGTGAAGTGGTGAGAATTCTGCAGCAAGTAACTCCCCTCCCACAATCTATCCACCATCCTCAAGCTACAAAGTCAGGAGTCTGGTGGAACACCCTCCACTTGCCTGATTGAATGCAGCTCCAGCAACACTCAAGAAACCCAACACCAGCTACCCATTTGCTTGGCACCACATTCACCTCCTTCACCAATCACTCCCTTCACCGTCAAAAATAATGGAGCCAGTACATACCATCTGCAAGATGCCATGCTCTAATGCACCAAGGTTCCTTTAGCAGCACCTTTCCAAACCCATCGCAAGGGCAGCTGTGGATAGGAGTCCCACCTCCTGCAAGTTCCCCTGTAAATATTCTTTAGAAGTTTCAAAAAAATAGAGTTGATCTAATTGAAAGATACAATAGACATCCACCGTTTAAGATTTCAGTATGTTTCCCCTAGCTGGTGAGTATAGAACAGAGGAACACCGTTCTAGATTAAAGGCCAGACTATCTAAGACTGAGATCAGCAGGAACAACTACTTTCAGAGGGTACTAAATATTTGGAATTTTCTACAGGGGGCTGTGGAGGCTCAAAAGATTGTGTTCAAGACAGACACCTGTAGATTTCTGGATACTAATAACAGCAAGAGGTATTGGAAACAGAGTGGATCATTAACCATAATCTGTTTGAATGTCAAAGCAGACTTGATGGACTGAATGGTGTATTCCTCCTATTTCCTATGTTTCTAAGCCACATCCATGCTGAATTGGATCTGTTTCACGGTTTTTTTGACCTTTGTTGCTAGATCCAGAATTTTGGAAATGCCTCCCTATCAGCCACTGTGTTTGTACCTTCCCCATATCAACCACATGGACTGCAGCAGTGAAAGTAGCTGTTGTTCACCACTTTCTCATGGACATTTAGAAATGGGCAACAAATGCTTGCCTAGCCAGCAGCATTTACATCCCACAAATAAATAGTTTTAAAATTCCTGTTGTAATTCCTAGAAGACCACTATCAGGTCACTCTCAGCTGTCTCTTTCCAAGAATGAAGAGCCTTAACATAATCTGAACATTAGAAATTAACTGACACACAAGTATTTACCACAGAAGTATGAAGTGGGAATCCTCACTGTGACAAATAGCTTTCAGTCAGAATTTCTCAGCTGTTACCTTCTTTCGTCTCCTTGTGCAAAGTAATTTGGCTGACCTGTTTGAAATGGAAGGATGAGGCAGCCAAGATAATATTTTGTGTTTTAATACAAGAGGGACAGAATAAAATGTAGCATGTGCTGCCAACCTCTATATCTCCTCCAGTCCCACAAACTTTAGATCTCTGTGCTTCTGCAATTTTGTCGTCTTGCGCATTGTCAGTTCCAGTCAGTCTGCCGTTGGTGGCTATACCTTTAGCTGCAATTTCCTTCCTAAACTCCTCTGCTTGTCTATCTCTCTTTCACTCCCTCTGTTCCTTAAAACATCCCTTTGTGACTAAGCTTTTTATTATTCAGTCTAATATTGTCGTTTGATGTCTGGTAATGATCCTGTGAAGTGCCTTGGGAAGTTATACTACATCAAGGATGCCATGTCAATGCAAGTTTTTGGGTGTTAATTTTTAAACTGGTCTTATTCCTAATGTTTAGAAACTATATCACGAGGTGCTAACTGAAGTGCAAGACAGGTCAACATCTTATTTGCCACTTGAGTTCGAAAAGAAGAAGCCAGTCCCCTTAAAGCTGTTCACACCCAAAATAGTGGAAGTGTAAGTTTATTTAATTGCATATCATGTTGAGTATTGGACTTGTTCAGGAAACCATAAAAAAAAGCGTAGATTAAATCAATGTTCTTCATGCCTCATTGGACATTGAACAACTTTAACGTTTTCAAAATTGTGTGATATCTCTATCAGTAAGTGAGTGGCCAATCTACAGAGAGAAACTCCCGGGGTTGCACTGGTCATAATTAAGTGAGTAACTCAAAAGAAGATTAGGGAAATTTTTCTTCCAGGAAATTACATTTTGGGATGCAGTCAATAAGTGAGTCATTTGAGACATGACTTGTTGAGTTTAGCAGCCTTTGGAGGAACTGGGTGACTTTAATTCCCAAAGCACTATTACTGAGGGCTTTTCCTCATGTCATTTCCAAGTCTGTTGTAGACCAACTGACAGATTGATTGCTATAATTAATCAACAACTCCATTATGGTTGTATCATGCAACTAATGGAAGAATTAGATGGATTTCTGTCCTTCAAAAGTCTTTTGATGTCTGCCAATTTTTAAATGAATGTAGGGAATAGTTACAAACTGAAGCTGGTGATTTGAGTTAAGGATAGATGTCACAAAGGTTGGAATGATTTGAATAATATCTCAAGTGGAAACTAAAAGCAGCTTCTGTGAAAGAAAAAACAGATTTAGCGTTTCAGATCCGATGACCCTTCCTCAGAACAGGAGGAAGGGTCACCTGACCCGAAACGTTAACTTTGATTTCTCTTCACAGATGCTGCCAGACTTGCTGAGCTTTTCCAGCTACTTTGTTTTTGTCCCTGACTTTCAGCATCTGCAGTTCTTTCGCTTTTTATTTACTATAAATAGTTTGTTTATTGGTACTGCTGGATCAGATCCAGAGGGGCAGGTCTCCGAGAACTGTCAATGTTAATGCTGAACGATTTACCTCTTCCGTCCTGACAATCGGAGAGCATGAGAACTGAGGTCCATAAAGTTGCTGCTAAGATGAGGGAGCCAGAAACGCCTGTGTAAGCGCAATGATGAGGTAGTACAGCCGGAGCCCAGAGTCTGGACTGGACAAAACCAGTTTTAAAAAAAAAAAAATCGGTTATGGGTTCATTCAGGATTAAATCGGGATCAGTCAAATAATGTGATGTGATCAGGAGTAGGCAGACTATTATCTCAAATTAGGGTTAAAGTGAGATGAGGGCTTTCTTTCGCTCTGTTTTTATTCAAATCATCTCTTAAACAGTTAAACCAAGAAGAACTGTCTGAATGACTCAGCAAGTTCACATTGCCCACAGATGCCCCACAGTCTGTGCCAAGTTAAATTACTTCAACCAGAGTAACAATAAAAGATGCTAAAACTTACTGCAGTAACTGTAAACTGGGGAGGAGAACGCCAGGCAGGGTTCTATCTATGAATACTGATGCGACCAGCAAACTCCTCTGTAGTTGTCTGTTGAGGCTCATTATCAGAGAAATGTCACCAGGGCTGGCTCCCATGAGAGTCCACTTGGAGTCTCCCCGTTCCTCCTACGCCCTCTGTAAGAAATTTGCACCTTTGTGTGGGAGAGAGGGAATGAAAGTCAGAATCGTGGGAACTTTTTAAAATAACAAAACTGTAACTTGTGCTTTCAGCTCAGATTACGGGCGAAAACGAGGCGGTACCCGGCAAGAGAAAGAGCGAATGAGGCTCGTCCACAAGCACAAGCGGGAATTTAAAGGAGCTGTTCGAGAAATCCGCAAAGACGCACAGTTTCTGGCCAGACAGAGGTTCTCAGATATCATGGAAGGGTAAGCAACCAATGACAGGCTCTGTAATAAAACATTGTATTTATGCAATGCCTTTCACAAACACACAAACACTCTTTGACTATGCTTCAAAGACAGTGTAATTGCTTCAATTGTAATGTGGGAAATGTTGTTGCCAGTTTGCACATAGCAAGTCCACAAACAGCAACATGATAATCACTAGATCATCTAGTTTTGTGGATACAGTGGTAATATCACAGGGACTAGTAATCCAAAGGCTGAGGCTATACATTCAAATCGCACCACAGCAGCTGGTTCCGCTCAAATCTGGGAATATTTGGGACCATGGCAACACTCATCAATTGTTGTAAAGCCTATCTGGTTCACTAATGTCCTTCAGGGAAGGAAATCTACTGTCTACGTGTGACTCCAGACCCACATCCTCAATATAGTTGACTCTTAACTGCTGTCTGAAATAGTCTAGCAGGCCACTGGGTTTAAGTGGCAGGCATGGGCAACAAATACTGGCTTTTGGGGAGAGGCATCTGGGAGAACTTACCTGTTTCCCTTGAAATAATACCAGGAGATCTTTTACATAATTTAAGGGGATAAGGGGAGCCTCACTTTAAACTTAGCAGAAAAGTGGCACCTGCAATATTGAAGTAAGTCCTTCAGTACTGCCTTAGAAACTCAGGCTAGATTACATGCTTAAATCTGTGGTGTGTGGTTTCCCAATGCCCACTGAGGTTTTGGATAAGATGCCCAATCCCTTACAGCACTTTTTATTCTCTCACAAGTTGATGGTGTCATTGTCTAGGCCAGCATTTATTGCTCATCCCTAATTCTCCTCCTCTCTTGAACTACTGTGGTCCATGTGGTGTAGGTACATCCATAGCCCTGTCAGGGAGGGAGTTAGAAACATGAGCAGCAGTAGACCATTCAGCTCCTTGAAGCTCTTCAGCCATTCAATAAGATCATTGCTGAACTATTTGTGTTTCAAATTCCCATCTACCCCTGATAACCTTTGATTCCCTTGTTCAAGAAGAATCGGGTTATCTCCACCTTAAAATTATTCAATGACGTATCTTCCATGCCTACTGAGGCAGGGAGTTCCAGAGTCTCTCAATACCAAGTCTGATATAACCTCCTCACTGGTTCCAGAATGTGCTGCTGTAAGAATCTATCTCAATCATACTATGAGCTCCTCATCCAGCAACTACTGCCAGTCTGATTTTTTAAGTTTATATGTAGATTAAAATTGCCCATAATTGTAATAGAATTCACCCTGAAATTTGATTGGGAAAAGGTGGAATCAGATATAATGGTATTATAATTGAGTAAAGGTAACTACAAAGACATGAGGGAGGAGCTGGCCAGAGTTGATTGGAAGGGTAGCCTAACAGGAAAGACAGTGCAGCAGCAATAGCAGGAGTTTCTGGGGAGGGGGTAATTTGGGAGGCACAGCAGAAATTCATCCCAAGGAGGAAGAAACATATGAAGGGGAGGATGAGACAACCATGGCTGACAAGGGAAATCAGGGACAGCATAGAAGCAAAAGAAAAAGCATACAATGTGGTGAAGATCAGTGGGAAGCTAGAGAATTAGAAGCCTTTAAAAACCAACAGCTACAAAAGCAATAAGAACACAGGAGATGAAATTTGAGGATAAGCTAGCTAGTAACATAAAATAGTTTTTTTCTCAAATATATAAAAATTAAGAGATAGGCAAAATTGGACATTAGACCACTGGAAAATGAGGCTCAAAGTAGTAATTCTGAGCCCATGACTCCTGATTATGGCCTCTGGTCATTGGAAACATCCTTCCTGCATTTAACTTATCTAATCCTGTTAGAATTTTCTAGGTTTCTGTGAGATGCCCCCTCATTCTAAATTCTTGTGAATATAATCCTAACTGGTCCAGTCTCTCTTCATACATCAGTGCTGCAATCCCAGGAATCAGTCTGGTTGCACTTCCTCCATAACCAGAGCATCCTCCCTGTAGTGAGGAGATGCCAAAACTGCACATGATATTCTAGCAGCAAGACATTCCTGCTCCTGCACTCGAATCCTCTCACTATGAAGGCCACCATGCCATTTGCTACCCTCACTGCCTGCTGCAACTGCACGTGCACTTTTACTGACTGGTGTACAAGGATACCCCAGTCTCATTGCACCTCCCTCTTTCCCAACCTACTGACATTCAGTTAATAATCTGCCTTCCTGTTTTTGCTACCAGTGTGGATAACCTCACATTTATCCACATTGTACCTAATCTGCTATGTTTACCCATTCATGCAATTTGTCCAAATCACACTGGACGTCTCTGCATCCTCCAACCCAGCTTTGTGTCGTCTGTTTGGGCCAAGGACACTATCCTGAGGAAATCCTGCAGAGTCGTCCTGGGGGTGAGCTGATTGATCTCCAAAAACCTCAACCATCTTAGTCATAGTCACATAGCACAGAAGAGGCCCTCCTGCCCATTAAGTCTGCACTGACCTATCCACTCTAACCCCACTTTCCAGCTCTCGGCAGCATAGCCTTGAATGTTATGACATTTCAAGTGTGCGTCCATGTACTTTTCAAAGGTTGTGAGGTTTCCAACCTCAACTGCCGTCCAAGGCAGTGCATTCCAGAGTCCCAACGTCATCTGGGTGAAAATTTTAATTTTCCTCAAATCCCTTCTAAACCTCCTGCCCTTCACCTTAAAATCATGCCCCCTTGTTATTGATCCTTCAACTGACTGAAACAGCTGCTTATTATCAATCCTGTCCATGCCCATCCAATGCTCCATCCCAGGCAAACATCCTGGTTAATCTCCCCTGCACTCCCTCCAGTGCAGTCACATCCTTCCTATAGTGTGGCAACCAGTACTCCAGCTACAGCCAAACGAACATTTGTACAGCTCCAACAAAACGTCCCTGGTGTTATAATTTATGCCATGACTGATAAAGGCAAGTGTCCATTATGCCTGTTTCTGTAGCAGTGTACTTGACATTCTTGCCTACTGTTATTTTGCAGAGATGCAGAAAGGAAGAGGAAGGTGAAGGTACTGTTCCATAATCTAGCGACTCAAGAGGGTGAATGGAAGGCCATGAAGAAAAAGAAGAGGAAATTATGATAACCTTAACCTGTCGCTGCAAAGAATGACTCACTCTCTAACCAAGGAGGTGCTGCTGCTGGATGAATGTGGTACATATGTCGCAGAATCAATATTAAAAATTTCCACAGGGGAGATCTGTGAAATTGAATTGGGCAAATTTATTAGCTAAATCTTTACCAGTCTTTCCATCCTTCTTCATGATGGACCATGATAGTTTATTGTGAGCATTAACACATTTTGATCAATAGCTGGTTAATGACTGACTGCAGGAGTGAATATTATACAACCTGATTCCCAGCAAGTCACTCTTGCCATGAAATATTTCTCAGCACAACACCCAGTGACTACCCTAAAGTTATTATTGTAGGTGGGTTTTATTTCTGATGGAAGCATGTTATTTTAAAAGTATACAAGTGTTGAAAATCGTGAATAAAGACAGCGAGTGCACGAATCAGCAAACAGCTCAGACAGCGCAACTGTGCACCTCAACATTTCTATTTCAAAACCATGATCTGTGTTTATTTTCTTCATTTGTGTTGGTGAATATTCTCTGCATTTCCAGCAAGTTCTGGCTTTTCCAAAAAATGGTCCAACTATCTTTCAGGATTGATAATTATTAATGTTGTATATCTTCTGGTTCAGCTAATTCAGATAATCTGGAGCTGATGGTTGACTGGACTCGGGAGTAACATACAGGTTGACTGCACTTGGAGGCAGCAAGGCAGGTTCAATCAAAACCTTTAACAATTAATAATTCAGCTGATAAACTGCAGGATGTGTGCAGTTATTTCTTTACATTGAATATGCAAAAATGTTGCATTTTATATGGAAACAGAAAATGTAATCATAAATAGTAGGAATGCATTGCACTGATGCAGAATTTTTGCTGTATTAACATAGAACAGTACAGGCCCTTTGGCCCACGATGTTATGCCGACCTCTCATCCTACTAAGATCAATCTACCCTGCATACCCTACATTTTACTATTCTTCATGTTGTACCAACAAATAGAGGAGAGCGGAATTAACAGCTCATGTATCCCAGGCCTTGTGTCTGTAAAGGTCCCACCAATTCGAAGTGTGAGCAGGTGCATGGAAAATGTTTTCATTCTAAGAATCATTTCCCGGTCATGGTTAGAGATGGTTCTGTGGTGAAGCAGCTTTGCCACAGACCATTGCCTCCAGTAACTATTTATGTTTTAATACAAATCTGATTTTGAAAAGCAACATTTGGCTTTTGTGTTTGTAGAAATACAAAAATAAAACAAATATTTGGAGATGTTTGCTGCCTAAATTATTTCTTGAGCTGTAACATTTATGTATGAAATAGAAACAATTTACATTTTTGCAATTCTGATTGCTAGGGGAGCTGTTATAGTTTGATGTTGAGGTTAGCAATTCGTACAACAGCTTCAGCAAACTCGGTGTAAATGGTTGTGATGCCACCAAGAATGTTTTTTATGTCAGGAGTTCAGCGTGTGAGTGATGGTCTGACTTGGATGGCCATGGTTAAATTGGGCTCTTCCTTGTGTGCCACTTGTATAGCACTTTACATTTATATGATGTTTTCAGAATCACAGATTGTCCCAACATGCTATATAGCCAACAGATAGTAGTCACTTTTTGTAATTAATTTCGGGAAGATGTTAGTTGTCTATGTCTGCTAAGAGGGTAAACTGTCTCTCTAGTAGGATAGACAAACAGGAGGCTGGAAGATCATAGCAAGCCATGCAATATCTGGAGGAAAGGAGCAGTCAACATTTTGGAACTAACTCTTCTTCAGGACTTCTTCGGGTTATATCCACAACGCTGACCGCTCCTTCCCCCAGATGCTGCCTGGCTTGCTGTGTTCTTCCAGCCTTCTGTTTGTCTACCTTAGATTCCAGCATCAACAGTTTATTTGTCTATCTGGGAGGAAGCTTGTTTGTGGTGAGAGTGAACTCATGAAGTCTTTTAATGCGTGTAGAGGCTGTTGTGTTGCAGCTGCCACACAAGTGTGGCTGACCAGAGACACTCCCTCTCTCACTGCCAGTCAGGGGCATATCTGAAGGCTTTACAGATTGGAAATAGTCTGGTTTGGCCTCATTATATCATACCTTCCTGAGGTTGGGCTTGAACCTGGAATTTCTGGCTGAGAAAACCATTACCACTGTGCTACAAGACCTATGGTAAACCCACATATGAGAGGAAAAGAAAATCCAGATTATAATTTAGCAAATAAAATCCAAAAGGACTGTGGATACTGTAAATCAGGAACAAAAACAGAAGTTGCTGGAAAAGCTCAGTAGGTCTGGCAGCATCTGTGAAGAACAAAATTAGAGTCAACGTTTCGGGTCCGGTGACCCTTCCTCAGGACCTAGTATTTGGCAATCCTACCTAAAACGTGTTCGGTAGATGTATTTGGTGCCATTGGCTTAGCTGTTCTCATAGTTTTCAAAGTACTGATAGTACCCATTCAAACATGAATGATTCATGTAAAGTAGCTACCATCTATTATAATGTACTGTCAATGGACAAGTCAATATTCTTTACACTTTTTTAAAAGACAAGAACCAGGAAAATCAAGAATGTTTATAGAATTGGATTTGGCCTCACCAGACTCAAAAGAGCCAAAATAAGTCTTCCTCCTATAGTGATGGCCTAGAATTTTCATCACAGATTTTCATATGTATACGTTATATGCATGTTGATCACATGTAAATTTAAGTATATGCCTAACATTACCATGCTGCTTTACCGCTGTTTTGCTTTTGTTAGTGTCAGGAATCAAGTTCACTTTCAGATGTTAAGAAAGGTTGAGCTAAGGTTAACCATCTTGCAAATGGGAATGGAATAGAAACAAGTCTTGGGATCATTAAAAAGCCAAATGGGAAATGTAGCAGAGTGCACTGCATTTGTA